GCATGCTGTTTAAACCCCATATGCTCGGCTCTTTCGTACTTTGATTTTACGCTACACAAATTGTAGATGAGAGTTTCTTAGCAAAATTTTTAGAGACTACTTTAGCAGAGTAATTAAAACATAAAACTTGTCGCTTTCTTAAGCAATAATCCTTTCTTGGTAACGTAAGAGCTAAATATCATATTTGGAATCAACAGGTACGGAGAACTATCAACTCAATTGATTTCGCGATGACTCGGAACACTGTCTAGTAATACCTACTGAACCTTCCGGTAATGTGAGAAATAGTTATCATATTTGAACTCCGGTTAAGAGAAGCCGCCGAGTTAAACCAGTTTTGCGTTGGTCCCGCGCGAGGCTGCTTACGGTATACATTATTGTCCTAGGAGATTAACGTAAGAAAGAAGAAACAGAATCCAAGAAACACCTGTGATCATCTTTGAGGATTTGTCATTTTTTGAAAAGTTCAAGTTAGAGACGTAGATGGAATGTGGGCTCAGGGTCCGAACGATATACTTTCTGGGGCTCACCACATGTCCATGTGGTAAATGCAGTAACTAAAGCAGTAGCCAGCACGTTGATGCAGTACAAGGAATTGAGCGAGTTTTGATAAAATGCAAATGATCATTGCTCCCCTTGTCACTCCTCATACGCGATCTATAATCACATATCTGAACCCTACTTAAAAAAAATTTTTTTCTCCACTTGTTTCTTAGATTATAATTTGTGTTCAAACTAGTTACGGGTTTAGAAAGCCCGCTAATTGTGAACGGACTTGATATTGGTTTGGAACTCATGAAAGTACGAGGAGGGCCGTTTTTTAATGAAGTCGCTGAACACATGGATTTGAAACTCGACTGCTACAAAAATGAAGAGTCCAGGTGTAAATGGATGAAAGAGTTGAAGTACTACGCATATTCAGTGGTAGGTTTGGCGCTTATTTTGTCAGAAGAAAACTAAGGTCAACCAAAGAAGTTTTTGTTGTACTTCATCAACAAATGTCAAATGTAAAGTTGTTTGACCACAATTAATGCCACCCCATCATGAACTTGGAACTGTAGTG